GGAAAGAGGGACCTGAGCTACACCATCTCCAAGCGTGGAGCAAGGAACAGAGGCGAACGCTTCCCCAGAGGAAGTAATACCACCTTTGTCCTCAGCTGCCTCACAGGCTCCAGCCACTGTTTGCTAGCACAGAGCATCTTCTACCACTCAGGTCAGGTCTACACTGCAATGTCTTGTCAAGCGAGTTATTGGCTCCATGGATGACAATGGGATGGGGTCTGGCCCAGGAACAGCCTATGCGGGATGCACTTCTCAACCTACACGCCTCATGCCCTGTCTGCCTAGCCCCACTTACCTGCCAGACTGAACACCAGCAGTCCTGGTATAAGCCACAGGCACGGCATCATTGCTTCAGCAAAAATCATCAGTGAAGGAAGGCAAGGCCCTCTGGGAAAAGGAATCTCCCCTCTCACAGCAGCTGCTCTGAACTGAAAAGAAACATGCACAGAAAAAATCAGCATAAACTTAGGTGATTGCACGTTAACTCAGCAGGCTCTGCCAGGACTCCTCAGGGACAGAGCATCATGCAGGATGCAGACTGGACAGACCTGCCACATGCGATGAGCCCAGAGGTCCATGTAGTCCTGTACACTGTCACTTATTATCTACTGCACCTGACCTGACATTAGCTCTACACAGCTCAGAATCCCACCTTTCCACACTAGATCAGAGCTTTGCTCTACCCTGTTTGGCCTTGAAAAAGCCACTCCCTCTCTCAGGGATAAAAAGGATGTAATAATCCTTCTGTTGGCTTGCCCATTTAGGCTGCCAGTTCTTTAAGCCAAGGTCTGTTTCTCATTAGCTACATATCCAGGGACCCTGATCTCAGGGAGGCCTCTGGTGCTACTATAACCCTTCTTCCAGCAGTGACTAGCATGTCCTTCCTCAAGTAGTTATTTGACAACGAACAGCCGACCTTAGTTACACTGGCTTCTCTCCCACATGCCAGGACTGCCCAGCTTCAGGTTCATCCTAAGCAAAAGAAAAAGAGAAAGATTCCTACAGACTTCAGCTGACATCAGAGCAGACTCTGGGGGCTGAAAAACCCCTATGGGCTTGGCTGGCATATGGTGGTGTGGGCGGGGGTCTTCTGCATGATTTCCAAGTCATGAATGTCTTCTCTTGTTAGATATTTCTCTCCTCCCCTCATTCCTTCTCCATTGTTTAACTCTGGGTACAGCTTTTCCCAGCCTCTCCCAAGCAGAGGCAGGACCCTGCTACTAAAATCTCATTTCTCTCCTCCAGGAAACAGTATTTGCCAGCTCTCATAATTTTCTTGATATTCGTGGCTTGCAAGACTCTGGCAGTCAAGTGAACACATCAAAATCACAGCTTACTCATTCTCCCCCATCCCCCCAAGCCAAATTCTAGCCTTCTTGTTGCAAAGCGAAGCAGGGAAAGTGTCCCCTAAAGGCTCAAAAGCCAAAAAAGCAAATAAAACGCACACCAAAGTATTATTCAAAAACATCTCAAGATTTTTAAGTTAATCCCATGAATTTTAGAGGGCCTGACTCAAGATCTTTGAACCTCTGGGTTGGCGAGGCCAAGGAGGTTTAGGTATACCTAGAACTAGGCCCATCTCTCAGATTTGTCTTGTGAGTGCAGGACCAAGTTGCCATGATGATGGGAGCAATGGAAGAGGAAAAGGAGGCAAGAGAGAGAGGGCAGGTTGGTTCACAGGGGAAGCAAAGAAGAGTCAAGGCCTTAAAAGCTTTGTAAGGCCAATGGTGCTTTCTTCTTTTTGTTGGGCCAAACCTAGCAGATGCCAATGGATGTAGATAAACTCGGCCCGCCCACAAGCACCAGTTTTGTCAGGGCTGCCAAGGGGGCCCCAGATATCAGTGGCAGTTTGCATTAAAAGATGGACTCATGTTATAGCTAGGGAGATACTGAGACCGTCTGAAAGGCTTGCACAGACCTGCCAAGGCAGCATGGTTACAGAGAGCCCTAAAGACAGTCACATATGAGGCAGAGGGACAGTGAGGGAAACTCTGAGATGGGCTTTGAGAGGCAGTCCTCACACCAACAAGCCAAGGCTGCAGTGGCTGGAGAAGCCACATATGATAGTGGGATCCGACCCTCCTACTGAGGCTGCTGGTCACAGACCCTGGACTCAAACTGCTAGCGAAGGCCTGTACCTCCATTTCCTGACCATATGCCCTTCCAAAATCCCAGTGCTGTTATCCCTCTTTTCCCAAGCCTAGGCTAGGTTAGCTGATGCCACCACAACTCCAGCAGCCCAACTAGTCTGTCCCACTGCCATAGCCTGGTGGTATCTTCTGCCATCCCCCATCTGGAATGAGGAGGTGATGTTCCCAGCTCCTCGAGCAGCTGGACATTTTGGTTGGAATTCACTAGATCAGCACGGATTTTGGTGCCATGTCAGGGTGGGGAGGAAATTATAGAGAATGCAAACAAAGTAGACAGGGCAATTGAGGAAAATTAATGGCTTTCCTGAACCACAGCTCTCAGCCTTGGAAGCCGGTGACACCCATGGAAAGCAGAAAGCATCTGTAGACAGGGGCGAGGCATGCAGGACAGCCCAGCTTTCCAGTGGCTTTGTAACCTGTTTTCCTTGCTGCTAATCTTTTGGCTGGATTTTTGGTGCTCACAGAAGTGTGGGCAGGAGATCCAACATACATGCTATGGACAGGTGGACTGCATGGTCTCCCCACACACTTGAGCTGCGATAGCCCAGAACACCCATATACACACAGTACAGTCAGTGCACCAGATGATGTAGAGCATATAGAGAAGCCAGATAGTCTCTCGCCTGCCTTGTCCTCTGCATCAAAATGCCAAGCTGCTGTAGTGACCCCTAGGTTCAATAAAAACAGGCATGCATGAATGAGAAGTTAAGGAACAAACTTTTAATTGTGGAGCAGAAGGCAACGACTGCAGATCCTCTATCCGGCTCTAACTGATGCAATAGAGGGACCATCTCCCAGTTCTTCCAACTCCACGAGATTTGACCTCTCCCTAAAATATGCAGGCTTCCCTGAATCCACTGAGGAAGGATCAGTTGCCCAACAGAAAAGGGTTGGGACCGACACAGCGGTGAAGGGCTACATCTATCATCTCTGCAAGGCAGGGCAAGAAAGAGCAGGCAACCAGACAGTTGTTCTCACTGAACAGCCTGATCCCACTTGACATCTCCCAAGCCCTCACCCTCCCCTCCTGCATGCCTTCAAAATGTGCAAAAATCTCACATTGCCTGTTAGTTCCAGCTCTAATTTTGGAAGCAAAACTGCTACCAGGACCCAAGGGTTTCAACCAGGTCAGCTACACATTCACTTCCCCTACTCTTCCTTTTCTTATGGTCCCACAGCATCTTGTTGCATGCAACCTGCTGTTGCAATGGCCTCTCAGACAAAACCTCTGTTCACTGCCAGTACCAACATTGTCTCTTGAGAGACTGACCAAGCTCCCTGAGGGCAAGTGATGGGAGGAGAGCGCTCAGGCTCTGGGGAAACCTGGACACTGAGGCCGGAGGTCTCAGATCCTGGCCCATTCTCCTGCTGGCACACACTACTTCATGGAAAAGGGCAACCCAGAGCTGGAGGCTCTAGCTACAAACTTCCCAGTTCCAGAAGGATTGCCAGGCAGACTGCAAGCTTCCCACAGTACCTCGGAGATCTTATTGCTGTTGGATGTACTTCATGGCTCCACCTTGGCAGCAATGGGAGCTGTTTTTGGGTCACAGCTTGGGTAAAGTGGTACGGTTCCAAATGCACCTTCATCACTCTAGCTCCTGGCAGCAGAGGAACAGCCACATCCCTTTCAGGTGTCCCATACAAGAGACAAGTCTAAGGTAATGTTTCCTTCATTCGCTATGGACCAGCCCCAGCACCTTGGCCAACCACAACAGCAGAGCCCCTGCATTAGATGACTCTAGGTGCCAACAAAAGGAGCCCTGCTGAGAGAATGAGCACAAGAAAGGCCTCACTCTGTGAAGCAGGAGGTGTTCCTGGGAGCATGGTGGATTTCTCTTGGGGATCTGTGATACAAACGGGGTGGGTGGACAGCACTTGCTCCAAGTCCTGGGAGCTAAAGGGGCTGAGGGGAATAGCGGGGTTTTCAAACCCTCACTGTTCCTGTATGGAGCCGTTTCCAGTCTCTGTTCTGTTTCCATTCCAAGTGCTTATGCTGCAGCCCTGACCTAGGAAGGTATGGGTGCAGAAACCTGCTCTCTGCTCTATAAAAAAAATCTTACTACCCATCCTTTCTGGTTTCTGCCTGCCACCGCTGCAGTGAAGGAATGAGAAACAGCTAAGGGGAAGTTTGAGTAACAACCCCTATGCATGACATCGGCCTGCCTTGGCCCTGCAGGCTGAAGACACAGACTGCAGTGCACAAGGGAGGCTTCCCTACCTTTCCCATCCTCTGCCAAGCCCAATACTCCCCCTAAATCTGCCCTGCCTTCCCTTTCTTCCCCAACCCAGCTGGGTATTGGAGAAGCCGTGCACCCTTTCTGGAAAGCAAGGGGCACATGCTGCAGAGTCCCTCGTACGGGTCTGTGATGCTGACTTCAGTCAACATAGTTCATATGGGACAAGTGGCTGAAAAGATTTGACCCTGACCAACACAGCTGTGCCAGGAAAAGCCCTTAGTACAGACACAGCACCACACACTCGTTTTGCTCATGGATGGTGGTCTAACTTCTCCAGTTCAAAGCACAGCTTTGCCAGTCCAGCTGTGCTCATGTAAGGAATGGCTTGTTGGCGGAGCACACTATTCCCACTCAGGTTAAATGTTCTTCACATAGACCCTACCCTAGCCATGATTAAGTGTTGGACACTTGGAAAAACCTTGGAATGCCCCAATTCCACGCCCATCCCCAAACTCACTCAACTGGAGCACAAGATGTGCTCAGAGCCATGGGCTCTGGCCCAGATCAATCTATAAACAACCAACCCAATGGATATGGCTTAATTTTTCGCACACCCAGCACTGAAGTCAAAGAAGCCAGTAATCAGAAGAATCTGTGCAACTCCCCTGATGCAGTCAGCTGGTGATAGAGGGACAGAGGATCATGGGAGACGTAGTTCACCCAGGAACATTGGCCAATACAAAAGAATGGTGGTATCAGCCCCCCTGACAGGCAGTGCTCCCCAGTGGAAATATACACTGTGGAAATAAATAGATGTTTTTTATTAATGTTGCTGTTTTCTCCACCTGTCTGATATGGCATTCACCAACAATGGCAATAAAACAGTAGCCTTGCCAATGAAGCCAGTGCCTACGGGGGCACTTCCATGGCTATAGGTATGGGTGTACACTCCAGTGAGCAAATGCAGCAACTTGGAAAGGGGACACACAAACCAAGACCAGGAGGGTCTGGGGTCCCCAGAGCTAGAGAGACACCTAAGAGATGCCATGTCACTATATAGAAGAAGGTATCTGATGGGACTCTGCTGGATAACTTCAG